TAGGCGGATACAGGTCCGGGACTCGAACCCGTGATCATGCGTGTGAGATAGTGCCGCTACATCACTTCCACCCTTACCAGTGAGTATCATAAAAAATGGTGACAGAAATCTTCCACTAACGCCAGTGCTGTGGACTTAGTGAAACCTCCACGGCTACGAACAGACCTACATTACTAATAGTGCGAATCCAATTAATAGTAAAATGTATTTTCGGAAAAGATTCCCACATTTAGGCTCATTCAATGGTCCCAGTCCTATTCCTCCTGGCATGCACCCCTTCAATCCCTGGGTTCACTGTTCAGGGTACTAGTTTTGCCCTTTTCGTCATAATACTTTTTATCCTCTTACAGCCCTTATTCAGGGGCAGCTCATGATCAAACTGGTTTAGCATAGATTGACATGAAATTGAAATGGACAATTCACAAAAAGACAGGTTGTTTTTTTTTCTTTTTCCAAAAAAGTACCCTCAGAAGTCAGTAAGTCCGTGAAAGGTGTCAGTTCCGTGTTGAGAGAAACATTGAGGAAAGCCAGTTTCAACGAGTATCGTTCTTTGGTGATACCGATGGCAAAGCCGCTGAGAAGGAGAGGACCTATGAGCACCGTTTCCCGTAGTTCAGATCAGAATTGGGTCGAGTCAGCACTCCACTGAGTCACTGTCCGTGGGAAGCCATATCTCCACTACCAGAACCACTTGGGTTCATCGTTTTGTCTACACTTTTTACAAACAGCCTTGGATAGGAATTGGTCCTAATGGTAATTCGTTTTTGTTTGAGGCAATCTCTCAAAGAACAGGCGTCAAAACTTCTTCAAATCTGTCCTTTAGATCTGACACTTCCTCGGTGGTGACCATCATCTAAGGGTAGGTTAATTGGTACCAGGCTCGTCTGGGAGGATAAAAGCACTGACTTGTACATCGGTTGGCCACCGTCAGTAGGACTACATACGCATTCATTACGCCATTGCGATTCTCAATGGGAGTCGAATGGGTGGGCGCATCCCTCAGATGGGATTGATTAACGCCCTAGTCTTTATCTTTTATACTTTATAAAATCGGTCACTTCTCAAAAGTTCCCGAAGGCCTCGAACCCCAGTATTCAACATAACAACAAGCAAGATCCTAGAACTCTTTTCATGAGTTTTACTTTTCAAAACAATTCCAAGGACGTTTCGGGTAGGCCTGTTCCCTCAATGTCATAAGTCAGTTTAGTCGAAATTGATGCAGGGCATCGCCCAAGCCGTACACCTCACAGCAACGTGGAACAGGTCCATTCACTCAAACTTATGGCCGCTGTAGAGTTGGATCGACCTAGCTAGAAATGGAACTTGCCCATTCTAATTTCCCCAGAATGATGGATTTTCCGTTGGGACCCGTTAGTAGAGCTATCCAAACCCTCAGTTAGTGAGAATTTGTTCCAGCTATAATTCAAAGTCGAGAAGACGTAATTTTCAGGGTCCGATGAGTATCAAATAATGTCGAATCCCTTGACTTTAGAGTCCCAGGTGTTTAGATCTTTCGAATAGTTGCACTTACGTTTAGTACACGACCTCGTTAAACCGGCCGGCCCCTCTACCGGTTTACGAATCTACGACGACGAAAGCAAAGAACGAAGGTGGCAATCGAGAAACAGCTGTGGAACAGCTCAATCAGTCACCCTCACTTCCTCCTTCCCTTCACGTGTCATATGCATGTCGTCCATCGGGGAATGCACATGTGTTAAAGCCTAGGCGAGGATCATAAACAAAAGCAGCGACGCTTTTTACAAAGACTTCCATTTTCAGCAACAATGCTCTTAATGTCCCCTTTCTGCAAGCTTTGAGAATTGTTTACAGAAAGAAGTCTCCGTGACAGATACTTCATTAGACAGGACAATAGATGTTTATGAAAAAAACCTAAGAATAACCAGTGATCGCTGATCGACTAATTCTAAAAATGGCTGATGTTCAACATGCCCTTTGAGGATGAATTTCGTATTCCCCTCCTTGCAAGAATCGGAGATGAGGCTGGGACACTGTCTGCGGAGCTAGCTTACATTCGCCGATATCTTCCTCCAATGGACGAGCCTAAGCTTGAGATACGTTGGAGGTGTAGAAGAAAGGCTTGGGTAAGGGTGTAGTCCCATTCGCTGGTCGTGGTGGTAGTGGTAGACGTGTTGTCACTCCACTGCCTTACTCAAACACTCTTTCAGTCGAGGAAAGAAGAAAAGTGGTGAAGAAGAAAAGGATAAGAGAAAAATCGTTCGGAGTTAATCTATCCCTGTCAGAGATGTGCTTCCTCGTTCTGTCCCTGCTGTTCAGAAACGTGGTGGTGTTTTGTATGCGTATGTGGCTGTACAATGACATGTACAATGACTTTTAGTGGGCAGTCGACGTATAAGCCACTGTTTTTATCCTCCCAGATGGGTCTTGTACCAGTTAGCCTGCCACGGAGTCATGAAACACTTGGTTGGCCAGGCAGGGTATCGACCTGGGATCCGACTACGGCACCATGGCATAGCTTCGTGGTAAGCTACTGGTAACAGTCTCAGCTGGGAAGATAAAAGCACTGACTAGGACCATACGCGTGCGATGTTGTTTAACGGTTCGGTATGGTCCCGAAAGTTTTTGCTGCTATTTCACCTCCTTTTTGTCTTTATCGAAATTGGGACGCAATGAGCTGCAACCATTGTGACAAACGTTGGTTAGTGACAGTACCTTTTTACATCTCACCTTCTCCGCTATCACCGCAATACATGGCCTGCAAATCTCATGGCTCTGATGGAAACACTTTTCGGTGTACAAACAACTCAACCTAGAATTTTGTAAGGGCACCTGGACCTGCGAGTAATGCCCATGCCCTTTCGTTGTTCAGTTGTTACATGATTTGTGATTATGTAGAACCACATCCTTCTCGTGCTTCCGGGAATCGGTACAGTACTTTCCACCTATTCTACTTGATCCTCTTGAGGAACCAAACCCTATACCTCTACCAGATCAGCTCGAAAGAACGCTAAAGCGGATGTTTCAGAAAAAACAGTGAAAAGCTGTGGCTTGCAGCCCCTTCATTGACAGCGCCCAGCGACAGCTCTGCACTTGCATACGCCGCTGTCCAAACAGAATTCGAAATCCCCCCTTCATAACCGTGAATTGCACGTGCATAACATCGCATTCGGACAACTTTTCTTTGTTCGGTTACACCAGTCATTCCCTCCCACACTCGTTCTCTTCGGAGTAAATTGAAAAACCTTCATGTCTTTTCTGCTGCGGTGCAATGCACTTTCTCTGAAGTCGCCTTTTGGTTATGAACGAGCTTTCCCAGCAAGTATGTGTTACTCATAACTTGCAGCTGATAATGGGGTCTTCTAACAAGCCATATGGATCATCAGGGAGGGCCATTGGACGAGCTCCCTCTGGGGGTGGCACACAGATTGTGAAAACATGTTTTTCTAGGGTGTTCGTGAAGAATGAGGGAAAAATGTTTCTTACGAAACGACACACATCAAACAACATCATCTCACAAACAACGCTACGCCGACGCATCCGCTCGATGAACTCGGACTTCCGGCAGATTAACTGATTTTAAGATGAAAACATACTAGAGGAAATCATTAGTCA